TCGATTTCTACGCTTTTGAAAAATGGAAAATTATAACTAAAAGTATGAACAGATGCAGTATTTTTTTCTCTAAAAAAAACGTATTTAGACTTTTACTCTAAAATAATTAGGGGAGCTAGTAATTGACTATAAAGAAATTACCATTGAAATCCCTATGCTGCGTTGCGCTAGGCACCACCCTGTATAGGATCTTTGAGATCCGTTGTCGATTAGTACTCGCACGTCACGTTCGCCACCGTAATGACACCGAATATTGACTCTAAAAGTTTGGCTACCCCTCTAATTCCATAATTTTCCAGTTTATGTAACAGTCTGTCAATATGTACACAGTCAAAAGCCCTACTAAGGTCACAGAAAATCCAGACAGGACATTCGCCCGCGTCCATATGTTCAATTAACTTTCCTTAAAAGGAGTGTAAAGCATCAGTTGTGGATTTACCGGGTTGAAAACCAAATGATTGGGCGACAAAATCTTAAATTTATCTATAAAATGTTGTAGCCGTGTTAAGAAGCAGCATTCTAAAACTTTTGAAAAGACAGACGACATTGTAATGGGCCTGTAGTTTTCCATGTTTTTGGGTCTCCTTTCTTTAAAGTTGGATTTATACTGCTGGTTTTTAATACCGTTAGAAATCTGCCTGTTTGAAAAGATAGATTAATTATATGCGTTAAAGGTTCAGCAATTGCAGTAGAAACCTTTCTGATTAAGAACTGCGGAACGCCATCATCCGGACCAAATGAGGTTTTATTCTTTATCTTATTATTAAGTACGCTTACCACCTCACCGGTGTTAAACGGAAGGAATAGAATTGATTGGTTAAGTGACAAGGATATGTTAAACAGTGAATTACCTTGTTTGTCAATTTTCTCTAGGATTTTAGAAGGAGCCCTGTTGAAGAACCTATTGAATCTATCGGCAATGTTAGCAGAATCATTAATCATTACCCCCTTATCATCTATCATTATGTTATTTTTTCTCCAACCACCTGAATAAGACGCTATTTTGTGACAGTGTTCGATACGTAAAATTGGCGTTTTGCGGATTAATCGCTATCACCATGGCAACTGTACAAAAAGTGGATACTTTTGGTCCTAGTACCAAAAAGAAATTGACCTTGAAAGTTGGCCAATTAAAAAATTACTATCACGGAGATATGTCACATTGACATCGTTTTACATTGCAGGTTGTAAGATATTTCTATACGTAGAAATCAAATATTTTTGCATATTCAATACAAATAATGCTGTTACCTATACGTATGTACATACATGTATTGAAATGATTTATGCTCGCTATTTTTATTTAAACCATGTGTAACGTAATTTACATATTCGGTGAACGTAATTTTAATACGTATACAACCCGCCGTCGCGCGTAACGCCATCTACTTAAGACACATTGCACTATTATCTGTCATTTTGAATTCAAAATTTGAAAAAGTTAATTGCAATTAATTTTAATTAAAAAACTGTATGGTAAGTTTTTTATTTCAATACAAAAAGAATATTAATTTTGTATACAATAGAAATGACTGAAACTGTAGGGACATGGATAGCACTCCGCCAGAGATTATAAAAACGGCAGAACATGCTACCTTAGATTTGCTCCCTACAAAGTCGCGAGAGGTGAGAAGTAAGAACGAATAGGTTATAAGTTAACCTAAATACTAGAGTGGCATGACACGTGAGGACAAGAAAGCAGAAGTTCTCAATCTAGTATAGTGAAACTGTGAACTGAATCTAAATTCGAATATAATTTAAAGTAAAGGGGGTTGGAGAAAAAATTTTATGTTTTATTCGTACAAAAAATGCGTGTTCGGGACTCGGAAGGTCCTGACATTTTTTGTACTAATGAAACAAATAACTATTTGGCGCGTGTAGTTTTTTAGCGCATTTCCACAAATATAAAAAAAAACGCGCTATTGTGGCCACTTTGTCCGTCCGTCCGGCCGGCCGGCTGTCCGTCCGTCCGTCCGCTCGTTTTGCGACGCTACTAGTTCTTTATCTTAAGAGCTATTGTTCTACTTTTTTCGCTATTTGGTTCGTTATGGTGTCGAGTCTTGTACCAAGGAAGGAATTTTTTCTGTACCGCTTACAAAAAAAGTTATTGTAAAAAAAACAAAAAACCGTTTTTTTTACATGTTCTATAATTTTACACTTTTGCCGTTTATTAACGATCCTAGAGATCGTTTATAATTTTGCATTGCTATCTGTCGTCTGCATGCTGGTCTGTCCGTCTGTTCCTTTGTCTGTCTGTCCATCTATCTGTCCGTGTGAACGATAACTTTGTTTAGAAATGTTCGATCGCTTTTACATCTCCGTTAGTTATGAACTGAATTGCATGAAATTTAATATGGGCATAGCTTTAGCCATATAATACGCAATGCCAAAAGTTGAATCGAATCGATTCAAAATTCACAGTGCCCTTTTCGCATCTCGACCATTTATAAACCGAATTGCAAACTTTTTTACTTATAAAAGTATTTGAATGAAATTTGATACATAGGCACTTGAATAAAGGAAAATCAAACGCCAATTTCAAAATTTGGTTTTGCGCATGCGCAGTGCCAACTGTTTTATTTATGGAAGAATTTAAATGAAATGTGATACATAGGCACGTGGAATAAAGGAAAATCAAACGCCAGTTTCAAATTTGGTTTTGCGCATGCGCAGTGCCAACATTTTTATTTATGGAAGAATTTAAACGAAATTTGATACATAGGCACTTGGGATAAAGGAAAATCAAACGCCAAATTCAAAATTTGGTTTTGCGCATGCGCAGTGCCAACTGTTTTATTTATGGAAGAATTTAAATGAAATGTGATACATAGGCACTTGGAATAAAGGATCATCGAGCGCCAGTCTCAAAATTTTCTTTTGCGCATGCGCAGTGCCAACTTTTTTATCTATGGCACCATTTAAGTGAAATTTGATACTTAGGCGCTTGGAACAAAGGAAAATCTAACATTAGTTTTAAAATTTAGGTTTGCGCATGCGCAGTTCCAACTTTCTTATTTAGAAAAGCATTGAAATGAAATTCTTCTCATAAACTGAAATTGAAGTAACACGTCAAAAATGGATTGCCCATGTGCAACGCTATCTTTCAGATTTGTGGCCGGATTTTTACGATTTTAACAGAAGTTGCATCTTATAAATGGGAAATGAATGCAAGTGGAAATGCGCTTTATGTAAATCGTTTACGATTACTTTTTAACTTGTTTGTTATGGCATTAACCATAGACCATACTGATTTTTCCGCAGTATCTGAGTAGAGTATTTGGGTTTGAAAGTAGGCCTTTTTAGTATTTTTGGCTAGTAATAAATGATAACGGTTCGCTGCGTTATATAGATGGGACAATTCTGGAAAGTGATTTTTTATTTGGAACAAGTCTTCTTCTGATCAAGTGTCAGCCACACATCGCCGCCTGAGATCGCTCCGTGTGCACCGCCGGCCGGTTGGGTTGCCTACCTACAGGCGCGAAATTCCAGAAGGTAAATTTGGCTCTGGCACCCTTATTTTAGATTTCCGACCCCAAGTGTCCTATATCAAAATACTCCCCTACGCACCACCTACACGCTCCCAAACGGTGGCAGGTACTATAGGAATCACCCTGTATACATACCGGGTGAATATTTTAAAACCGTGGAAATGGAAAAAAACGTTTTTTGCAGATCGTTGCTCTCCATGTTAACTTCGAGGGTTTATAATGACACCAATCAAAAGAAGATTTTTTTCTCATCTAATGATATACGAATTAGTTTATTTTCAGGTGTATTTCTCATTATTTTATCAAAAATTCGGCAATAAATCCAATTAGCAGAGTCATGTTAAGCCATGAATTGAACTAGATTTTCACACAGACGGAATGGGACGCTAATTAAAATGCACGGAAAACAAATAACGGGTACTAGAGTAACTATTTCAGCTGTAAACGTAGTTTATTATAAATACTTTTTCCTCAGTGAACCGCATTTTAGAAAAAAAACTAATACAAGTTGCCATAAACTGATATTGATTTCCACGTTTGAATCTGCTTTTTGTCTTCCTAGTCATGGCTTAATATGATTTTGGTAATTGGGTTTATTGCCGAATTTAATTTTGAGAATAATGAGAATTGAGAAATACACCTGAAAATGAACTAATTCGTTATTAGACGAGGAAAAAATCTTCTTTCGATTGATGTCATTATAAACCCTTTAAGTTAACATCTACCTACAAAAAACCTTGTTAATTCCCTATGTTCGGTTTGGGAATATTCAAGTATTATATCCCAAGTGCACGCCAAATACCTGAATATTTCGCGAGTGAACGTAGTGCACGAGCGAAATACTCAGATCTGGTATTTGGCGTGCACGAGGGATATACGGGATGACTATTGCCCGACAACAATTTTGCAAGTAATGTTTGTTTCGATCCTTTCAAAGACATGGTTTTTCAAAAAGCATCATGAAACCGAAAATAAGCATGGGTTCAGTTACAAATTGCCATTTTACAAATTGTAATTTTCGTTAATAAGATTTGGAATTATTTATTTAAGTTTCGTTTTAGGTATTTACACATAAGCAATACCCGCGGGTATTGCACAAGTGCATGAATACTCGGGGATATTTGTCTGTTGCTAGGTGATTTCTGTAATATGCATTAATATGATTGGTTGAAATTTTCTGAGGGCAATAGTCACCCACTATCTCCACCTGCTCTCTCCATAAGAAGCACATTGAAATATTTTGCGGGAATCTCATCGCATAAAGAACCCTTTATAAATGTCATATCGTAACCTCGATAGTAACCATCACGCTACTAAAAATATATATTTTCGAAATAAATATCTACATTTTATCTGACCACTTGAGGTTATTTTTTATTGTATTTAAACAACAATATACTCTAGGTCTCCTCGTGCATGAGATTCAAGCCTGTCTTTCTGTCTTTCGATACATTTATCTGACTGATAAGCGTATTGACTACGATTTTATCATCATTGGTATCCACACACTTAATTCAGAGAGTAAAATCACTAGAAGGGAGAAGGCCTGGAATTAGTATAAAACTGTGGACATCCTACCACTAACACTAAGTAGAGCGTTCGCAATACTACAGCTTAAAAATGAAATTCGTGGGTTTGATTCTTATCCTAGCATTGGTAGCTTTTCAAGTAGCGTACTGTGCTGATTGCGTGTGCGTTGAGAAACCACCATGTGCTAAGGGATTTAAACCAATGTAAGTACTATTTTTTTTACTATTACATAATATTAATCCGGTCTTATTATGTTACATTTATAAACCGTATTATGTACAATATCATTTACATTATCCGCATAAAAATACAGTTTGTTTCCTTTTTTAGCGAGCCATGCACTACCGCCGACGGCAAATCTGGAGCCAAGTGCTGTCCGGAATAGTAGGTAGCAGCAATGCTTTCCAGCACATTTAGATGGGAGAAAAACACAGTCTACACACAATTTTTTTTATTAATATGTTATACTTAACTTGACTGTGTAATTAACAAATTGTTAGCCAATTGAATAAAATATATATTAAAAATTGACGTTTAATTTAAGTTGAATAGAGCAAGCACATCACAAGGTTAGAACCTCAGTTTTTTTTGTAGAAGAAAGATATGTGTGAACACGTAGGTAAAACAAGATTATAATGAAAATATTTTTTCTTTTATTTGTCAGAAAAATACACTGACAAATTTATTTAAAACAATTACTGAAACTCTCAATGCTAACTGATCTATGTAAAAATATTCAGTGTTGCTATTTATCTGAACACTCCTCCTCAACACTGGCTTGTTAGTCCTCCAGTCCATTCAATCGTCGAAACTGTTGAACTCGAACGCGTACCACAGGCTTGGTGGTGAGCAAATCAGCCGCCATGATTTCCGATGGACAGTACATGAACTAGATTACTCCCCTTTGATACAAGTCCTTGACAAAATTGTACTTTGTATCAATATGTTTTGTCCTGTTACTAAATTTTTCACTATGCAGCATTTTCAGACAAGACTGATTATCCTCGTTAAGCTGTATATTTTGAACGTCCTCGTCGAGATCATGTAGAAGTCATTGAATCCATATTGCCTCTTGTGATGCCTCCGACAAGGCGACAAATTCAGCCTCCGCAGTTGACAATGAAACACAGGTCTGCTTGCGGCATGCCCATGATATATCGGGTGTTTTTTTAAGCATGATAGAATTTTCCATCGCGATGGCTGTGAAATCAGGTGTCAGTTTGCTCATTATTAATGATATTTAAATTTAGTATAGTGTGACAAATCATCATGAATAGACTCACTCTTGAACAACGCTATCAAATTATTCAAATTGACTTTCAAAATCAGTCATCGATTCGCAAAACGTATAGACGCTTTCGTGAATTTTACGGCATACATAATCGTCCATCTGAACTATAATAGCCATTCGTCGGACTGTGGAAAGATTACGTACCACCCTTTCTCTAATGGATGCAGTAACACCAATATGTGGAAAAAATGTGCGCACTGAAGAGAATATTGCCGCTGTAAATGAAAGTGTGCAAGAAAATCCAAAACTGTTTCAGTAGGTAGGGCTTTGTCCGTCCACTACATGGAAAATTTTGCACAAAGATCTTGGGCTACATCCATATAAGATACAGTTGATGCAGGAATTAAAGCCACAAGATCATCGATTGCGGCGTTCTGGGCTTTAGAGCAGTTCCAAGTTGATTTCAAGAAATGGACCTGTCAAGTGGCCACTCAGGTTCTGCGATTTGACGCCTCTTGATTATTTCCTATGGGGCTACGTAAAGTCATTGGTTTTTGCTAATAAACCAGCAACCCTGCACGCCTTGGAAGCCAACACTGTTCGTACGATTAATAACATAATGGCACCAATGCTCGAAAAAGTGACCCGAAATTGGACTTACAGAATTCGCTTCGTCAGAGACAGCTGCGGTGGCCATATGCCTCAAATAATTTTTTCGTACTTCCCACCACCCACCACCAAAATTATGACGATAGCAATGACAGTTTCCAAATTATTTTTGTTACCATAGCATAGGGTTTGTCGTACCAACGCAACGTTCCTATGGTAACTTGTTAAGCAGCGATTTTTTAAAAGAACGCGTTCTCTAACTCCATACATCTTAAGTGTTTCAGTTTCGGAAGTACGAAAAATATCGTATATACCTTGCGACTGAAGTAGTAGTCTTAATCCCTCAGGTAAACTTTACCTTCGGGATTAAAAGTGCTACTTCAGTCCCGTGGTATATAATATACTATTAATATTAATGTCATATTTTGATGTTTCCAATAATAGTACATTATATATCAAGGTAGAGAAGTCCACTATTATTGCCTGAGCACCAAGATTACATCTCGAGGCGCTTGCGCCGAGGGGTGTAAGGTGCGAAGGCAATAATAGACTTCTCTACCGTGGTATATATACTATTTTTTTCACTACTAGCACTTGAAATCCTCTAAATTAACATATTATATTGATAAGAGAGTTAACGGTTGGACAGAATTGTTTGTTTCTTAATTTAACATGTCAATCAAGTACGTGGAAGTACAAGTCAAACAGGCCGTATTTTGTTCTGTCATTGAGATTTTTCAAAGAGTAATTTCGTTCGAATTTTTTCAAAATGTGATAATTTTAGGTATGTAATTTCTCTGGAAATTGCGAATGGTGGCAATTATTCGTTTTAGAGAACTTGTCTAAACGTTCATTGAGCGAAATTTCGGGTTGTGTTTTCTAAAAGTGACAGCGTGACAGTTCTCATTATTGACTACTAGTTAATAATAAAAAATTATTAACCACTTTGAACAAATGCCGAGAAAGCCTACTTTACAAGTGGAAAAAAGGATAATAATCATGTCATCAGACGCTAGTAGTGAAAAAACATAGATTTTTTATTCAAAAGCTGTTTTTTGTATTATTTATTCAAGTTTAAAATTCTATCGGGCTTAAAAAACACCCTTTAGTACCGCCGCAGAATTTGAATAAAAATTCACTGTTAGACTTTCTATCATTTCGGCATTCCGCCCAATCCGCATCAGCATATCCAACCAAACCAGAATCATCGCCACGATTGCTTAGACGAAGCTTCAAGTTGATCGACCCCTTCAGATATCGTACAATTCTTCGCAGTTCATTCCAATCACGCTGCGTAGGATTCGACAGTTTACGACTGAGAATGGATACAGGAGCAGCTTTATCTCGCCTGCTATTAACAGCCACGAAAAGCAATTTTCCCATCAGCTGTTGGTACTCCGTATTATCAGGAAGTGGCTTGTCTTCAGTATTTGGCTTGAAATATCCCACGTCAATGGGAGTCGGAGATGAATTAGCATCCTCCAAACCACCTGACTTCACGATATCCGTTACATATTTTCGTTGCGAAATATGAAAATCCCCAGCATTATCGCGTTCCACTTCGATACCGACGTAATTCCGAACCTCTCCCAAGCTCACAATCTCGAAGTTTCTCTCTGATATCCTTCCGGCCAACGTGATGAGTTTTTCTTCCTCACTAGCAATGATTAAATCATCTACATAAACTAGGATGTAGCATCGTTTTCCATTAACCTGCTTGCTATATAAACATGGGTCAGCTTCGCTTCGCTTGAAGCCATCGTCTACCAATACTTGATGAAGATTATTGTTCCATGAACGAGCGCTTTGCTTTAATCCATACAGGCTCCGTTTCAAACGACGGACATTGTCTTCAGATCCTTTGACGACGAACCCCGGCGGCTGTCGCATGAATATTTCCTCCTCAAGGCCGCCGTTTAGAAACCCTGTTTTTATGTCATACTGCCTTACGACCATTCTTCGCTTTGCCGCGACTGACATCCGTGCCCGAAATGTTGTTTAACGAACAACGGGTGCGAACACTTCGTCGTACTCCTTTCCATATTGTTGATTATAGCCTAGAGCTACTAGTCGTGCGTTGAACCTTATTACCTCGTTATTCGTATTTCGCTTGAGTTTAAAAATACACTTACACCCCAACGTACGTTTTCCACATGGGGCATCGACCAACTCCCAAGCGTCACAATCACGGATTGATTCAAGTTCCTCTAGCATGGCCTTCCTCCACTTGTCGCAATCTGGCCCAGACAGCGCCTCTTTCACCGTTCTCGGCTCCTCCTGAACTCCAGTTTCTGCCGCACAAGCGTATCTATCAGGCAGTTGTCCTTTCGTTGTCCTAGCAGACCTTCTACAGGTATTTTCTTCAACAATAGGAATTGCATTTTGACAGACGTCTTCTTCATCCTCATCCGCTATGGGAACTTCGTGTTGCTCACACTCAGATGGGTCCGTTGTCAAAAATGGAACAATTATTCCGCTTGATGAAGTGACTCTTTCTGGAGATTGCACAGAACCTTCGACACCTCGCTATATCCCATAAACTTCAACTTTTTCGCTTTTTCGTTTAGCTTACTACGCTTTTCTTCCGGTATGTAGCAGTAAACATCAACGCCGAAGGGATGCACGTGGCTTAGATTTGGTTTTACTCCATGCCAGCGTTCATATGGCGTAACAGGAATTGTACGAGAAGGGAGACGATTTTGAAGATAGTTTGCAGTTGTTATGGCTTCACCCCAGAACCGGTGATCAAATCCGGCCTCGATTAACATACACCGAGCCATCTCTATTAGATACCTGTTTTTACGTTCCGCAATGCCATTTTGTTGTGGCGAATACGGTGCGGTGAACTGACTGGCAATGCCATTTTCTTTCAAAAATCGTTTAAAACTTTCCCCAGTGTACTCACCTCCACTATCTGAGCGAAGTATCTTCGGCTTCTTACCGAATTTGGTGTTGACCATCTCGACGTACTCTCGTAGCTTTTTCAACGTTTCCGACTTTCGTTTCAGGATGTAAACGACTGTAGTTTTGCTGATGTCATCTATAAATGTTAGAAAGTAGCGCCTTCCGCCAAGAGTTGCCGTTCGCATCGGACCACATACGTCCGTATGAACAAGCTCCATCACACCTGTCGACTTGCTCCCAGAAATCTTTGGGAACGGAACTCGATGCATCTTCCCACGAATACACACCTCACAGTCCTCTGGACAGTTACACTCGCATAATTTTATTCCGTTCGCCAATCTCGGAATCATTTTTACAGCGTCACGGTCTATGTCCAAGCTTACGATGCCAGCAATGAACGCACTCGGTGGGCTGTCACCAACGACACATTTTCATTATAGAGTTTTAACACAAACAAATTGTTCATCAATTCAGCCACCGCACCTACAGTCCCGTTTCTACTAATGGTAGCACCTTTCGCGTCAAAGTTCACAATGAATCCTGTTCAAATTTAAGGTATTTATGTAAACTTTCTTTCTAACTTTCTTTGTCCACTAATAGCCCATAAGAATTTAACCTTGTGACTAATTTAAGTGTCGGTTACAATTTGTAAAACTGGTCAGCCAATAATAAGGCGTTATTTCCCTCTGCTCTCAAGAATGTTGTAAGGGTGTGTAATTAGTTACAATTGAGAAATAGCATAACGTTCTTGACTTTCCACGCGAATGTACAAAATTTTCAATG